GAGAATTTAAAACAAAACTTACAAAACCAGGGAGAGAAGATGAAAAGAGAGAGTTGTTGCTATTAGGTGCCATCGAGTCAGTACTGACCCATAGTGATCTTATGCACAGCAGAATGTAACACTGCCTAATCCTGGGCCAACTTCACTACTGTTGCCATGCCTGAGTCCATCGATGCTGCCACTTGGCCAATCCATCTCGTTGGGGGTCTTCCTCTTTTTCTCTGACCCTTCACCTTACCAAATACGATCTCCTTCTCCAGAGACTGGTCCCTCTTGACAATATGTCCGAAATATGAGGGACGAAGTTTGGCCATTCTGGCCTCCAAGGAGCAGTCTGGCTGCACTTCTTCAAATACAGATCTACTGGTTCTTTTGGCACCCATGGCACTTTCAATATTCTCCTCCAACACTATAACTCAAAAGTATCAATTCTTCTCCAGTCTTCCTTATTCACTGTCCAGCTTTCACATTCATGTGAGGTTATTGAAAATACCATGGCTTGGGTCAGGCGCACCTTAGTCCTCAAGCTGACATCTTTGCTCTTCAACACTTTAAAAAGTTCTTGTGTAGCAGATTTGCCTAAAGCTATACATCATTCGATTTCTTGACTGCTGCTTCCACGAGTGTTGATGATTGATCCAAGAAGAATTGAAGTCCTTGACAACTTCAATCTTTTCTCCATTGATAAGAATGTTGTTTATTGGTCCAGTGGTGAGGATTTTTGTTTTCTTGACATTGAGATGTAATCCATACCAAAGGCTGTGCTCTTATCTTCATCAGGAAATGTTTTAAGTCCTCTTCAGTAGAGCATTGTAAGAAAATATCAAAAGGGAAAAAAAAGAAGAGAGTAAATGAGAAACAAAAGAAAGAAAAACCAAAGGAGAGATAGGATAAAATTCAAGGGACTGGAAAGAGAAGACAAAGAATGAAAAAACAAAAACAACAAAACAACCAAGGAAAAAACCAAAACCAATAGTGCAGCTGTTGGGCCCAGAAAGAAAAGTCTGGGGGCTCCTGCCAGTTAAGTAGTTCCTGAGGTGGGTGTAGGAGAGTTGTTACAGGGGAGTTCCTGGTCCTACATGGAATTCCTATTGGTCTTGGTATGATCTATGTTCAGGGATCTCAATCCAGAAGTAGTTCATGGAGGCCCTTGATGGAGCTGGTTTTAATGTCTGTTAGGACCACAGGGCAGCTAGGGACAGGGTGGTGGGTTACGAGGTTTTCTGCTAGACTACTGCTGATCTGGTCACTTTGTGGGTTCTGTAGGTCAGGAGCTGAACCTGCCTGAATCTAGCCACCAAATTGCCCCCTGTTTTACGTTGGAGTGGGTACTGACTACGTGGTTCCAAACTCCTGGAGAGCAGGGTCTACACTGAGGATGGATGAAGGTGAACTGGACACATCTCTGTGTACCAGAGGAGCCTGGGGAAAAAGAAGGAATCACACCTTTCCCAATGTCTGTGCGAATCTGTTCTGTAAGGCCACCTTCTGTCACCAAAACTGTTTACAAAAGTTCAGAATGGTGGCATCACGTCTGCCTTACTGTGTTCACCAGTCAGTCTCCCTCTCTTGCTGTCCCTGCTTAGCCTTTCCTCCAGCAAGCACTCAGTCCACTTCTGTAACCTTCCCTCTGAAGTTTAGTGTTCCAGAGTTTTCACCTGTGTCTGTTTCATTTAGTCTCTCGTATCTTTGTTGTAGAGCAGGGGTTGTTATTGTTGTTGTTATGTGCCGTGGAGTCAGTTCTGACTCATAGCGACCTTGTATAGGGTTTCTGAGGCTGTAAATCTTTACGGGAGCAGAAAGCCTCATCTTTCTCCTGCAGAACAGCTCATAGTTTTGAACTGCTGACCATGAGATTAGCAGCCCGATTCGTAACCACTACGCTACCAGAGCTCCTTAGAGCATGGGTAGGAAACATTTGGATATTTATAACAGCACTTAAAATAAATTTATGTTGCTATGAAAAAAACCTCTTAAATGTATTGAATTTCAAGTTCTGCCCATAGTTGCCTTGGCAGGGCAAGACCACATGATTTCTCAGGCTTATATATGGGTCAGATGTTGTCCACTCCTATTGTAAAAGGTCTGTGAAGTGTATCTGCCTAGTCTGCCATCTTGCCGGAAGTCCTAATGGTGAGATTCTTATGAGAATATTCCATAGTGATTAATATGCATTCTTAAGTTTAACTGTTTAGAGTACTTCCTTTTCCACTCATTAACAGGGTGCCCTAGGCAAATTACCTATTACCTCATTTGATGTGAATGAGTTTTAAATAAATCATTATGTTTAAAAGTACTCTACACAAAACAAAATAAAACCAGTTAGAACTGGGCTCTGTAAGGTCACATAGTCATTCTTAACCATTTACATCACTCAGGAACTCTGCTCTGCTTGCAAATACCTAGCAAATGTAGGATAAGCACTGGACTGCTAACTGCAAGGTCGACTGGATCTAGTAGGTCTCCTTGGAAAACCATACACAGGGTCACTATGAGTCAGAATTGACTCGATGGCATTTCACAATAACAACAATTATTGTAATAGATGTTAAAGTCCTTTGTGCCAATGCTGTTAATACCATTATTATTGTCCAATGAGACAGGCTAGGAAAAATCAGGGGCCAGGGGTGTGCAGTCAAGACACAATGTCTTGGAGTCTCAGTGTCCTTGTCTATAAGATGGCTATAACAATCTTACTTCTGCCTACTTCCCAGAGAAGTACGAGTGCTTGGCCCGTGGTAAGCACTTTCAAACATGGGTCATGCAGAGTGACAGAGGCACGCTACGGGATTCTGTCCTTAGCGATATTATCTGTTCTTACGTGTTTTCCATATAGGACATGATGCAACAGAGGGCCCCGTGAATCAGTGGATAAATGCAGACAGAGTTGAGCACGCTGGCTGGGCGGTGAACTGGTCCGTGCTTCACGTTTGGACAACAGGTACTCTTATACTCTTGGTGAAAGTACAAATCTATTGGCACAACAGTTTTGGAGAATAATTAGTGTTATCTTTAAGAAGAGCACACACAATGACTGAGCAGTTCCTTTTCTAGGACATCACTCCCCAGTATTCTGGAACAAGTATGCCAAGGCTCATGTGGGTGAATGTGTTCATTCACAGCTTTTGTATAATCATGAGACACTGGGAACAACTCCAAGGCCCCTGTCTTAATTATTTGGTCCTCTTCTACCCAAAATACCATAGGTGGATTGAACTTTATTTTCTCACAGTTCAGGAGACAAGAAGGCTGCTCTGTCTTACTTTTCCATCACTGTTCATCTCTGCTCTTTTTATAACTCAGAAGTGATTAGACTTAGGATCCATCTTCCAATGGGAAAGGGACTGTGGTGCTGTGGGTCAGGTTGCTAACCACAAAGTCAGAGGTTCAAACCCACCTGCTGCTCTGAGGGAGAAAGATGAGGGTGTCTGCTCCTCTAGAGATTTATAGTCTTGGAAGCCCTATACTGGTTCACTGTGTGTTGGAATCGACTTGATAAAAGTGGTTTACTGGTTGTTATTGTTAAAGTGCCGTGGAGTCGGTTCCGACCCATAGTGACCCTGCATAGGGTTTCCAAGGAGTGACTGGTGAGCTTGAACCACCAAGCTTGAAGTTCAAACAGCTTTGCAGTCTGGCACATTAACTCACAGCGCCACACCAGGTTTACTGGTACGACCTCATTAATAAAAGACCTCTCCCCAGCCCCCTCCATCCCCACCATTTCCAGATCTACAGGTACCAGAATTAAAATACAAAACACATATTGTGGGAGGATACAAGTCAGTCCAGTACTACCCCTCAACATGGGAGGAGATAACAAAGTTTGGTACATTTTTACTATGGATTATGCAGTTATTAAAAATAAGGAAAACTTATATGTACTAACATGGAGGGGGTCTCAAGATGTATGGCTAAGTAGAAAGCTCATGAAAGAAAAACAAGTTGATAGAGTTATGCTTTTAATATTTTAACATTTTATATTAAATGTTACATTTTAACCTTTAATATTTTAACATTGTGGGGAAATGTATATTGCATAGAAAATATCTGTTGCATTTTAACATTTAATATTAAATGTTTAATATTTTAACATTTAATATTAAATATTAATAAAATAAGGAGCTCTGGTAGCGTAGTGGTTACGAATCAGGCTGTGAACCGCAAGGTCAGCAGTTCGAAACTACCAGCTGTTCTGCGGGAGAAAGAGGAGGCTTTCTGCTCCCGTAAAGATTTATAGCCTCAGAAACCCTGTTCAGGGTCGCTATGGGTCTGAACCGACTCGACGGCACTTAACAACAACATTCATAAAATGTTACATTTTAACATTGTGGGGAAAATGTATTTTGCATAGAAAATATCTGAAAGTCTGTATGTCAGTGATACCAATGACCATGAAGACTGCAAATAAAGTTTCCTTCTGTTACACATAAAGGCTCCATGAGTCAGCTAACTTGATGGCAGCTAACTACATACTTCAAAGTTAACAGTGGTTATTTTGAAGAGATTGGCTAACTTTGAAATGAACATTTTGAACGAACATTTTAAAAGAAAGCTCTTCACTGAAACCCAGAGGCTAGATTTGGAGTCGGCCGATTCCATTGTGTAAGTAAGAAACCGCCATTGACTTTTTTGGACTGTATCTTTCTCTTACTTCCTCCCAGCATTGTGTTAGGGAGTGCCATGAAATAATGAATATGATAATCCCTGCTCAGAGCAAGCTTAGATCAATACAGTTATCAAGGAGGGCGACCCAAAGGACGAGAGCTGAGCCTAGACCTGGAAAGATTTAGTAAGGTTCAGGACTAGGTGGCGTTACATCAAGAGAGCATGCATACTTTTGGCAGCACTTCAACCCAGGAACTACAAGTCCCAGCAGGCTCATCGCACACCTCTGGCGCGTCTCGGACGGATGACGCAGGCAGTAGCGCGGGGAATTTCGAGCGGTAGTGGATCTCGGTAGACCGGTGGGTGGTGGGCCTCCTGCCTCCTCAGACGCCGCCATGGACGCTATGGCCGAGCCCCGATGGCCTCCGGCCTTAGCAGTCATGAAGGTGAGTTCTCCGGAGGGGGAATGGGAGTCGGGGCGTCCACGGGAGGCCGGGACCTACGTCAGGGGAAACGATGATTTGCGAGTTGGGCCTGGGTTCTCGACCTTTTTACTGTCTGCTTACCTCTGGGCCTGTTTCCTCCCTTGAGAAGTGGCGGGGACAAACCTCGACCGTTCATGGTGAGTTGAGGTTGGCTGTCTTCTGGCACCGGGTATCCTGCCGTTTAGCCACACCCGTAACAGTGGCTTGAGAAAAAGTTGTTGTTAACAGTGACAACGACCGTGACAACTTGCCCTTCTAAGGTGTTGCCTTGTGCCAAGCTATCTGTACACTCACGCAGTGCAGACGTTGAAAACGGCCTACAGTGACACCGGACATGATTTGAGGCGGACACTGGATCTAGTAATCTCTTTTACGTTCTTTTTCATTTCTTCTCATTATTCTCTAGAGGCTTAATGCTGGGTTTTGCTAACATTTACTCTCTTAAGTGTCATTGGGTCGGTTCCGATCCATAGCGACCTGGTATAAAGTTTATGATAAGCACTGGACTGTGAACCACAAGGTCCGTGGTTCGAGCTCGCGCTCATGAAGATGGAAAGCCGTGGAAACCCTCTGGAGGGTTGCTCTGAGTCATAACCGACGCAGTGGCACTTAGAACAGCAACAACATCATCGGGGTTGAGAAGCAGCTGGTGGGTTCGCACCACCGCCACACCAGGATTCCAGTACTAGTCTTAAACAAATCATTTCATTTGAATAGTGTTTATTTTTACAACTACTTCCTGAAACAGTAGCCAAGAAACCAAACTGCATATTGCATTAGGCAAATCTGCAGCTCAAAACTTCTTTAAAGTGACCAAGAGCAAAAATGTCAGTTTGAGGACCCATGCCGCGATATTTTCAGTAATTTCATATACATGGGAAAGTTGGTCATATAAGCCTCCATTAAGAGACCAGGGAAGGTGAAATTCTCCCATTGAACCACTGTTGTTGTGGTTGTTGTTAAGTGCCATTAAGCCACTTCCGACCTGTAGTGACCCTGTATAGGGTTTCCAAGGAACAGCTGGTGAGCTTGCACCACTCGCTCCATAAATATGGTTCATATTGTTGATTCAATTAGGTATAGTATGTGATAGCTATTCTCTGGCTTTGTTCAGTGTGCTTGATACATAGTGGGTGATTGGTAGTTATTTATTGACTGAATGAAGTATCTGGAATGGACTAAGAATCAGGTAATGGTTCTGTGCCCTCATGCTCCTTTGTATTTGCTGTCTGAAGATTAAATAAAGAAAGTGAAAAATCTTTTTAATGGATACATCTAATAACTTTGTTAAGTGTCTTCGAGTAGGCGCTGACTCAGTGACCCTGTGTAGGGTTTCCTAGGAGCAGCTGGTGAGCTTGAACGGCCGACCTTGCAGTTC